TGTGCAAAAGCTTTTATCTCATTAAAAACATTAAGTTATTGGAAGATGAAGCAAAAAATATCAGCTGGTTTTAATTTCCTTTCAGAAATTTTCCTCCCTGCAAAATGTTGCCATAAACAATACTTTTGTACTAACAGAATCACTTTATAAAAGGAAAAATAAATGTATTATTTTCAGCAGGGGGCTGTGATGTTGAGCTGAGTACTATTTTTTCCCAAGGGACCTTGAAATTTAATTTTACTTACCTTGGATGTTGCCTCTAGTCTCAATGCTTCTACCGGCTTGACACCTGAACATGCCAAAGAGGTTCTGTATTATGGAAACTAAGCTTAAAACCAGAGCAGATAGTGATCCACCAGCTGGAATCTCAAAGCCAGACTTTGCACTTGGCAGGAAGCCATCAGAAGAAATGGGGACTTTGTCTCAGTGGTGGTGGACCATGTGCCTAAAGCAAGCATCAGGCTGCAGTGGGACAGAGGGCCCCTCACCCCAAATGTATCTTGCCATGGTTAGTGATATCTCCTCTTCCGCTGACTAACCTGGGGTGCTGTCTTCCTCTCTGGAGAGCTCCTGAGGCTGAGCAGAAAGTGCATAGGGGTATTCTCATAATTTAGTGTCTCAGTGCAGCCCACAGCCCCTCACTGAACTCCAGGAAAGGGTTTAAATTATCTTGGACAGCATTAAATTACGTCAGCTCCACCACTGTGGCCCTGGCGTGGGAAAGTGCTTTGTCTTCTTGCACCCGGCATGTCCCCAGGCCAGACAGAGCTAATGTTCTGGAGAGGAGCTCTTAGCACTGGGAAACGGCTGAAGTCCCAGCTTTGGCTCAGGCCACCAAAGTGAGCTCTTAAATAGGAAGAGAGCCAGCCCCAGGTCTTGTGTCTGTGATAGTGGCAGGAGGTTGCCCAGCCTGCGACCTGGAAGAGAAACTCAGCACTGTGGGATTGCTCCTGCTACAAGGTGTTGTTGCTTCCCGCTCATGGGCAGTGCCTTGTCCCTTAGCTCCCTCCTTCACCCTGAGTGAGAAGCTGAAGCTTGGGATAAACATTAACCCAACACAGAAACAACCTCCCTGGGAATGCCTCTTTCCAGGGCAGCATGCCAGGATTCAAGAGTAGACCAAGTGTCTTTGCTGTGCACTAGCGCTTTTGCATGCAAGGGCTTATCTGCAGCATATAGAGGTGGTTCAGACTAAAGATACTTCCAGCCCAATATCACCTATGGCCAAAAAGGGGTAAAGGAGGGAAGCCTCCCAGCCTCTCCCTGTTTGCAGCTCAGGGACTTACTGAGCCAGCAGTGGCTTTTTGTGTGTTTGGCCTCTCTCCACCAATTTGTCCTCTCAAAACCATACATGCTCTTGGTGGCCTCAAAGTCCTGCAATAAGGCCATCTACACACTAACTGCACGTTCGGGCGGGGAAATTAAAACTATCCTTTTTAGGGTTGGAGCTGGTATACCAAGGTTTAGATTAATGCAGACACAGAAGGCTTAATTTAACAAGTAATATTACACATACAGCAAAGCTCAGCGAAGGCTGATGGGGGTGGAAAGACACCTGTTTTATTGACAAGCACCAGCACAGGCAGAGGGAGCTCCTGGGCTGTGCACCGGGTCAAACTGTTTACCAACTACAACAGCTGGCTGTGGCAGCACAGATTATCCTTGTGCACTTCATGCAGGGGTAACCTCTGTTCAAAACACCTCCAGCACTGACTGATACTCACTGCAGGTCTTGCAGAGGCCCGAGGGACTTGCATGAGGCTAAGCTAACCTCTGGGTCCAGCTGCCACCTTATGACATGAGTTCAGTGCTTTTCAGTAGTCCTGAAGTTTGTAGAGCAGAAGGCGTGTAGGGCCCATGAGGACATGCTACCTTGTCTCCAAGGTGCAGGTCTGCACAGGCCTTGCAGATATTCCTGCATCCACCACGTTTTAGTAAAGGACAACCACAAGTGACTGGTTGGCAGTATGACCAGAGGAAATGGCCGCCAGCAAATACACATGTGAAGCAAAAAAAGAGCTGGTGAAGACACAACAGAAGAGAAACTTCTAACAACGCCGAGATGTCCTTCCCTTCTGATTTCAGTTAAAGATTATTTTCAGAATTTCCTATCAGGGGCAACAGCTTGGTCCTTACATCTTCTTCAGAAAAGTTTATTTTGTAATTGTTCATTATATACCACATAGACCAATGCTTATTTATATTCTGTAGATATACATCAGGCTGTGGTTTGGTCTAATAATGCATGTTTCAAATGCCTTTTTTAAAAAAACATAAGGACAGGATGGAAGAAAAGATTTTTAAGCTGTTTCAAAAGGCTGCAGGAAAAATACAATTGTAAGTATACTTCTAATTTCCATGGTCTTGTTTTAAAAGATAATGCCTTTCAAAGTCCATAACAGTAGCACAAATCTGTATTTGTGTGCACCCATGCACATAACAGTATGAGTAAATTAGATTACCAGTATCACCTGTAAAGAAAAGCCTGCCTTTTGAGTTTCTCTAGCTAGGTGGCACCATTTTTTTGAGATACTGTGGTAAGACTCCAGTAACATGTTCTTCTCATCCCACACTTTCAATGTGTGCAAATGTCAGTGGCATGCAGGGGATCTATCTCACTCTTGCCCGTCTAGCCACTCTTCACAAAACCTCATTTCCACTTTGATTACTTCCGCACTGTGCGGTTGGCCTCCACCGATCTCTCCCAACTCAGACCTTCGTAATTATTTGAAACTGGATGATTTGCCGAGTGGTGCCTAAGGCAGAGCTAAGGCAGACCACATGTCTCAGGTGAACAGAGGATGATGCTGTTTCCACTAGAGTCTGTGATCTTAGCTATGGTCCACCTGGCTGAGAACAGCACAGGATACAAATGCTTCTTTTCCCTTCCTCTGCAAGCACTGACAACTTTATACCACAAGAGGTTTAAAGGAGGCATCATCCACTGAATGGGCTTGTGTTCCAGGTCAGTCTGAAAACATAAGAGGGGTCTGCTGCATCCTGTCAGTGCCAACACTG